GCCTTTGTTCTATATACAAAGTTATGTTGCAAATTCTATGGTGCATCACAACCACATCTAGAACCAGCAGCTTTATTTCCGTAAACCTCAATATTTCGTCAGATTGAGAGCCTCCTAACTTCTGGAGTTTGTATCGGAGCTGGCTGCGTGACCTTGGTTTAATTAGCCACAACTATTTACGAGATGATCCTACATTTTAATGTACTCAACTAACCCACTGCATGCAACCAAACGAGTTTTTACGAGCTCTGAACATCATAAACATCAAACCGTAACGGATTTTGCCAATATTTGTCAGCCAAAACATAGATTTCTCATGGGCATTATTAAACATTTTCATTTATATAAAAGTTGGGATATACATGGACCTTTTCTACAAATTACATTATGACATATAACAAATGTTTCCTTTGCTTGTAAAATGATGAAATTCACTAAACTTACCCCCTTTTTGTTTCAATCATGGGTCGAAGGAAGGAACATCGTTCTCAGGAAGGTGTGTCAAACTGTAACTTAATCTGTCAACAACTCTTCTGTATGGATCTTCCTCTCGTCTCTTCAACAAGTAGGCTAGGCTTTTCTCTACTTCTGCTTTCGCCTCCAAGTAAACCCGATTTGCTGCTTCTTTGTCTTTCACAAGTTCTGGTCTTCCCTTAGTCTCTATCGGTTTCCCAAACAGGTAATAGAACCTACCAGGGATTTTCGGTACGAGTCCTGGTATGTAGAGCTGCTGGTTTGCTACCTCTCCACTTGAGTCTTCCCTATTATCATAAACAATACTCATTTGATTAATAACAGCTAAACTCATTAGTGCCTCTCTGAATGTTTCGATAGCTAATTTCAACGTTCACATGTGATGAAACAGAAATTCACATTACAAAAGATAAACATTTTCATTTTTTGATTATATATTGTTATGCAATTGTAAACACAAACACCAAAAGGTAAAGTGAAATTTTTTTTTTCAAAATACATATTCACAATATAAACTAAAAGATTTTTTCGTTTTTGTTTTTCATAAATATTTTTGCAAAATGTAAACATAAATGCCAAGCGCAAACTGACCTACTTTCCATTAGAGTTAACAATTGAAATTTGTTTACCTTATTAAGGGTTCATTTGCGAAAAGATACACTAGATGCAAATGCAAACACAAACTCAAACAAATAATATAGATGCCTCTGTTTTAGGTTCAACGAAAAGGAATTTTACCTCAATTTAAATTTACTGGTATCGCGAGTTATTTCCGAGATATAGTTATTGAGAATTGGAATCTTCATCAGGTCGTTGTAATCAAGAACCAACTGCAATAACAGAAGACAATCTATATAACTGCCTCTTTTCAACAACTGTGCACTGCAAATTTCGGGATGTTTTTCTGTGACAGAAAGCTTACTTCAGCTATGTCGTCTTCACCAACTGTTCNAAACGGCACTATTGTTGCACCAAACCGTGCTGCCATCCTTACAAACTCTTGCTGTTCAGGCCAAATTAGTTTGTATTGTTCACCCTGTAAGGTCGTCAGAAAGATATATCATCATAAATGTTTTAACACCACCACAGAAACAGCAAAATCATTGGTAACCAAGTCATCTTGAATTTCGTTGGACTTAAGCATTAACGATGTTTGTAACTTAGCAGTTGCAATGGGATATAAACTTTTTGGTGCCAATTGTAGCAACAGTTTCATGGACTCATAAACTCAGGCCTCAGTTGATTTAAACACAAATTTGTACGTTTTGTGTTTCTAAGCAAAAGATCTTCAAAATCAAAATCATGATTTTGGCAGTAGTACATTTTCACAAAATATTGTGGCAATGTTTAAACGCGTACCCATTTGAGTTTACAATTAACAAATGAATTTTCTAGTGAAGATTGTGGGTTCGTTTGGAAGAAAATCACTCTAAACGTAAAAACAAACGCAAACAAACAATCGAGACATTAACAACCAATCAATGGATTCTTAAACTACAATTTAAAAACCATATGAAGTTTCATCAATTTTTTCCTATCTTACGATAACCATAGAAGGATATGAAGGTTCAACTGTCTGATTAAGACTCTCCCTTTTCACCTGTTTAAGAGGTTAGAACCGCTTGCGTTTTGACTACTAATTGTCCCTATGTATATCTAAAAAGATATGAAGATTGCTAACCCGGTAATGGAGAGCCTCTCGTGCACCGCCAGGATAGAGAAGAACATGAGATTTAGAAGATAACAGCTTGAAAAGATTGGTTGCGGTGACAGGATAGGCACCAAATACCTTAATCCAGTCGCCATAACCAAACTCCTTACCTGCATCATCTTCAGAATACAGAATAGGATGGGCCATTCCGCGAAAGAGAATGTTTTTCTCTTTGATAAATGCCTCCGACATTGGGCCAAGTTCCAATCCCATCAACATGTGGTAACCAACAAGTAGCACCGGACCATCATCTGGAACACCAGCAAGTCCCTTCACTATTCTCCCGTCTTCCATAGTTGACAGAAACACAGAACTTACAGCATTTCGTAAGAATCTGCTTGTCACAAGGTAAAAAATTCAGACCAGATACTACCACATTGAGCTTAGGTTGTAAGCAAAACCAACATTTGGGTCTCTTTTGCTCATTTGAGGAGACCCAATGGACGAGACAGTAATATATTAACTTGTTCAGTCAGCTTTTTTGAGAAAGTTTCCAGATATTAAGTAGGAGCATTTTTACAAGAGAAATAGAGTCAGGGAAGGCTTAGCGAAGTTACCCAAGCAGTTCCTGAAGGGCGTAAGAAAGTTCTCCCTCACTGGGAGGCAAGAAATCAGAAACAAAGTCATATCTCCAGGTGCGCCGGTACTTGCATGTACCTTTTATTACCGTGAGCAAACTGATGCTATCTTCCTGGAACAATGAATAATAGTCATACTCCTGTGTTTTTCTCTACTCATAAGACATTACTCTGATACTAATTCATTAGTTTCACCTACCAGCCGTAGCCAAAGGGAATACACTCAAAACTGAATCATTTGGTGTATTACTAAGTTAAATTACCAGTAAAAGGGTATGCCCGTTTTCCTTGAAGCATCGAACTGTACAGTTTTTTAGCACCCCATGAAGCCGCTTTGATTCTTCTTGGCTAGGAAGCATCCTGTCCTTTCCACTGAAAGCCCATGGATTCCAAAGTGATTTTGGTCACATATCAATCATTATAAGCCACGTCGGTGGTATTTCATATTTGACCAAGACCAAGACAGCAAACAAGAAACGAGAAATGCAATACAATACGGAAGAAGATTACCTAGCAAGGACCAAGACTTCGGCTTGAACTGCATGGATGCGGGAATTGGCATAAGCAGCGCCAGATCTCAATAACTTAAGCTTCCAAAGTAAAGTTTCCCTAGGAATGATTCCACCGAGCTCCTGAAAGAAAGCATACGGTGAAAAAAAAGATGCCATCTTGTATAGAAACAGAACCAAGAAAATGCATGAAAGACACTCACAGATAGAAGAGGAAGCATAGAGTTAGTAAGCCTCTCTCTCAACTTTTCCATTTTTATTCTTGCTGGAAGTTGGTTGTTGATACCAAGTGAAGCCATCTTCATTGGATCACCTAAATGTCAAGAAAGCCTGAGTAAATATAATTTAAGAAAACAAAGACTTATTAACTTATACAATAAGCATCGATTCATGTACCCATAATAAAGCTTAGAACGTACGGAACAGTAAAATGAAGCTCTTCTGGCACCATCTCTAATATAGGTAGCAACGGCTGTAGTGGTGACCTCTCAAATGATGTTGCTAAGAAAAAAGGAAAACGTATTTGATCATTCGAAAAAGCTTGTTTAGGTATGCATTTAGATAATAATAAGCTACAGAAGTGTATAAATATGTTTGCTGACCTGGGTTGACTAGTATCAACACCAAGTCTAATTGACGGTTTCGGGCAGCAACAGCAAGAGCCAGGCATCCTCCAAAGGAATCGCCCACGAGATATATTGGCTTATTCGGACGTGTAGCATGCTCCTGACTCAAAACATCTTCGACAATTTTCACCAGCCCTTTATCGTAAAAGCAACAGTAGACACTATTCAGGGGAAAATCGACAAACAACTGACAATCTTATACAGAATCACTCACTAGATATTTCTATCCATTTGCAAGTCATTCATATACATATAATCTAATGACAAGCATATTCATTGGTGGAAATCGTTTCCTCGCATTATTATAATCTTCTATTTGATGCCACAACACAATGATCTGAGTGCAAGTTCTTCTAAGCATTGATATATATCTGTATGTACTCGTTGAAATGTATTTATATACATGACGTGTATCTAAAAGAGGGAACATAAGCCAGGGAAGCTCAGATATTATGTTCCACCTCCTTAAAGGGTATAAAAATGAGTATTAATTATTACCTTCAAATGGAGTACGATCATGCACCGGAATATGCAGGCACCAGACATGAAAAGCCCTCCAGAAAACACAAAAACAACAGTCTAGACTGTTTGATAAATGTAACACGACATTTCAACATAATAGAAAAGATTAAGCATAAACTTGTTCATCAGAGCCATGTTAAGCTGATACTATTGCTGCTGCATTAAGGGTTCAAGTTTATATTTCCATTTGTACATTTCCTAGTCCAACAATGTCATTTCAAAGAGCACAAAAAAGTGAACATACTTCCCAAGAGCTTTATGATGTGGAACGAGACCCATCCCTGTGCCATCGAGCCCTGCAATACGAAACATCGGAAAAAGATTGGAACTTTGAAATCAGATAAAAACAGTAAAAACCCATTATTAAAGGCACAATCTTTACCTTGAAACAAAACAATCAATTTCTTTATTTTCTACACGACAAGACAAACACAAAGATAATTGATTCCGATTACCCAACTAGATTTCTTTACCAGGTAGGAAGAGAAGCGTAGGTGCATCTTTGATGGGTCGGCCACAATCGACGGGGCTAAACCACCGTGGAGGACCACCGTCAGGCTTCTTCAAGATCTCATTGGCCTCTGCAAAGTAGTCCTTGACAGATTTGGAGCCATACCCATCATCCCATAACAGCTCAATTTCCTCGGATTTAACTTTCCCCTTCACTTCATGACTCGCTTTTGGGATTCGGACACTAGCCACAGAGACCGAACCGTTCACAGGCTCTACTGCCGTGGCCTTTTTGTTGTCACCAGATATTTGAGCTCTTACCTTGAAGCTGGCTGTACGGTTGAAATTTGGGAACACCAATAAGCTTGAACATATTGTTGCCATTGCCATTGCCTGGCAATTCTAGTACCCAAAAAGAAAAGAAAGACGAAAAAGTAGGATTGCTCACAAAAAGTAGGAAAGATATAAAAACCTTTACAAAAATATCCCACAAAAAGTACACTAAAAAAGAAAGAAAACATTACTTGTTCTCAATTTTCAAGAAACCACTAGCCGCTATTCGGGCAATGATTTAATGTCTAATGGCTAGAATAAAATAGACGCTTTAAATTTTTTATAAAAATACATAATATTTAATATATATAGTAAAATATATAAAAACCATAATTTATAAATAATAAAATTTATATTGTATTTATAATCATTATTTTATAACAAAATATATAAAATATTACGATTTATATACAAAAATGTATATTTTTTTATTATTGTTATAGTACCATAATATTTTAGACGGTAATACTCGTAATCTCCACGATCTATAGGGGCTTACCGCCTAAACGCCGCCTAGACAAACGCCTAAAAAGATTTTTTAAACACTCTTTGTTCTTATTTTTTCGGTTTCGGTTTCTCTTTCATAGAAATTGCTGAAAAAAGAATTATCAGTGTTCTAAAAAACGTTCTAAGCATCCTATAGACCGTTGAGATTACCGTTTTTGCCGTCTAAAATATTATGGTATTATAATAATATAATAATATCATTTTTTTATAATATTCTATATATTTTGGTATAAAATGATGAATATAAATACAATATAAATTTTATTAATTTATAAATTTTGATTTTTAATATATTTTACTATATATATCTAATATATTATGTATTCTTGTAAAATGCTTACACCGCCTATTAAATCGTCTGGGCTCCGATCAAGCGTTCAAGCACTAGGCATTGGATTACCGTCCGCTTAGCGTCTAGCTCTTTCTTTAACATTGGAAATTATTGCAAAAACAAGTTTTCATCCCATCTATTTTTTGTTTACATAAACACTCCATATTTTATTAAACAGTAGTAAACTAGACTCATATATCTATTATTGTTAAAAATATTTATTAAAAAGTAAATAGTAAACACTCTGACATCAAAATTTTAAATATGTATAAAAATAAAAATATAGATAACTTTTTTCAAAACTAACAAAAAATCACATTATTTTATAAGAACTGATTCTT